GGCTCATTCATGATTTTCTGGATTATATTTCCCAGCGTGTAGGGGAGTATCTGGGGGGAACTACTGTCGCGAGTTGGAGATTCGATAAAAGAGGTAAGTTCCTGCTGTCAAGCGCCTTTGCGCGAGGAGAATCCGAACCAGGTGGAGACTTTTTTCTTGAATATCTGATAGAGCGGATATTCAAACGAGGCGGTAGCAAAGCCAGGAAAAACCAGTGTGGCTAATATGCTTGCAAGAGCCCAGATGGTATTGGGAATTCGCACGGTGATTTGAAATAGATGATGCTCTCGCAACGAGCACCATGATATGGCTGAGATATATGCTGTATGAGCATCTCCCAGGGATTGCAGCATTTCCACGGGGTGATGTTTTTTCGCTCAAACTCCATGGCGCAGGCCCACAAGACAGCAGGAGAACCCGCCGAAAAGAAACGGCTCTTTTCTCCGGCGTGGCAAAATCCGGCCATCCCGCTGGCGTTCAAATTCCCATGAATTTGATAGAAGTATGCGGCAGCTAGAAAGGCAATGGCAGCAGTCGCCCAGATAGAGATATATTGCTGTGGCCGTCGACGGACGAATTCCGATAGCAGAAAGCCTGCGATGAACTCCACGACAAGCGGAGATGCGTAAAAGGGGAATCAGCAGGCTCGCCTTGGCCTTCCCTTCATTTTGAGGGAGGTACATCCCGTTCTTGTACAGCCAGGACATTGAAAATGATGATGCCAAGGCCACAGATCCCTAGGATCTTTGCCGCATAGCGTCTTGCCAGAGGACAATCAAGGCAACGACGACATAGAAATACAACTCAAAACTCAGCGTCCAAGTAATGGGGAGAAGGTAGAGCATTAAATCCTGAGGCCACAGGAAGAAAGATCCCAACAGGCTTGTCTGAGGCTTGATATTTTGGAAATGCCATGCAGCGATGAGGTAAACAAAGAAAAATGGCCACCAGCCAATGTAGATTCGGCCAAATCGCTGCGTTAAAAAACGTGCGAATGAATGCCATCCAGGTTTTAGATTCCTCGTGGTTTCAGCCATTATCAGTCCGCTGATTACGAAGAATAAATCAACCCCAGCAAAACCAGTCGAGTGACCGCTTCTGGCAATATTGTCAGTGTGAATGGCGTCACGGGTGGACTCATGTGTGGAGTACCACCCAGAATGCGGCAAAGATCGCAAAGTCTGCACGTTTTTTAACATTGGGGTTCCTCAAGAGGATAAATCTATCTTTTCTGAAGTCTTTGAGTATGCATGCGTCCATTAGCAGCCCGCTAAGCGGCTCCTGAGGGGTGCTGCTAATATCGTGGTGCAGAAAGGCGATGAGGAACTGGATTCCAATGATGACAGGCAAGGCAGCGAGCATAACTGTTCCGCTGCTTGCCGGGAGATTGTCCAATAAACTGCTGATCCAATGAATCCTCCGAAAATTATTCCGAAGGATAAAAAAAGAATGCCAAAGATGCTATATATGGTTCCGCGTTAAAATCTCTTAGAAAATAATTGTAGAAATAGCGTTTTCCTATGCGGATGGCATGCTTTTTCAGGAATTCCGGGAGGATCTTGTTTATCTTGAGATTGGACTCCTCATCTGCATAGACTGCGTCCATGGGTATATCTTTGACGACAGCACGGATGGTGGTTCAGCCGAAAGAGCATGTCGGTCTCGAAGAAGTAGCGTTTTTCCAGCTTGCTGATGGGTAGTTCTCGTAAGACGCTCGTGTGGATGGCTGTATATCCGTTGGACGGGTCCATGATGTCCAGTATCCGCAGCTGATTTTGGTAATGAAGGAAAGTGCAGCATTCCCAAAAATGCGGATTTTTGGCATGGTTTGCACTGATTCAAGCCTGAAAAATCGATTGCCTTTTGTGTAGTCTGCTCTTCCTTGGATGATGGGGGTGACAAAAAGCGGAAGTAGTTTAGGATTCATCTGTCCATCGCCATCTATTTGACTACGATATCCATTCCATCCTTGATCGCTTGACCATAAGCCGTGCTTACCGCTCCTCCCACGCCTTGGTTTTTTGTGTGGAAAAGTACCCTCACCCGAGGATCCTTGCAATTCTGCAGAATCCAGTTTCCACTGCCATCAGGGCAACAATCGTCTACGGCATATATTGTTGTTACGCAATCGGGTATTTTTTCTATCACCTCTATGACATGCTGTGTGACTTTGTAGCAAGGGATGGCAACTGAAATTTTCATGTGATCTGTTTTGTTAATTGGGTGCTTGGGATGCAAATGGTTATCCCTGTTGCAATGAAGATGCCTCCGATAATAGTTTTAGGGTGCATTGGCTCGTTCAGAAATAGCCAGGCCAGACTGGGCACAATTATAAAGGCCAGTCCCATAATCGGATATGCCAGATACAGAGGTGCACTTCTCAGAATCCACACCCAGGCCAGCGTGGTGACTCCGTAAAGCGCGAAAGCCACAAGCAGCCAGCCATTGAGGGCAATATCCATCAGAGAGGGGGAAAGCGGAATAGCGGCTGCTGCCTTCTTGAAAAGCAGCTGCCCCAGCGAAATGCCGAGGACGCAAATAACAGCTAGACTGGTGAGAAAAGGTGTCATGTGTTGGA